TCAACTGGCCAAAGTATTGGAGCTTCAGCATCAGCATCAATTCTTCCAATGAATATTCAGGGTTGATTTCCTTTAAGATTGACTTGTCCGAGGGACTCTCAAGATTATCCTCTATCACCACAATCCAAAAGCATCAATTCTTCCATGGTCAGCCTTGTTTATGCACCACCTCTCACATCTCTACCTGCTACTGGAAAAATAACACCTTTGACATTAGGGACCTTCGTTGGCAAAGTGATGCCTTTGCTTTAAAATACACTGTCTACTTTTATGATACCTTTCCTCTCAAGGAGCAGGCCGTCTTTTCATTTCCTGACTGCAGCCACCTTCAGCAGTGAGGCCCCGGCCGCCTCACCCTCTCACTGTCCCCACGCAGGCCTGACATCTCTCGGCCCGCGCCTCTGACCACCGGCCTCCGCTGCCGCTCCGCCTTTTCACTGCGCGTGTGCACAGCGTCACACGCGGAAGCGGAGAGAGGCGAGCGGCGAGCGGCGGTCTCAGCGCAGAGTGAGTTTCTCTTTTTCTAGACAAGTCTTCCCTTCGTAGTTGTCTTTTCTCTGTAATGTGGGTTGAGGGTCGATACTAAATCTAAATCTCCGCGCCCGTCCCACCACCACCAGCAAATTCAGATGTCCCATTGTGGCGAAGAGGCGCCTCCATTTTTGCTTTAAATACGCTCTGAAGCGGATACCTGCGTTTGGTCCCTGAGACGCCTCGTTTCGCAACTCTTTGTTGCTTAAAACCAATTTCTGAGTTCACTGACCCCTCTGCCCTTTCTGCACCGCGTGAAATTCTCTTGGGTGATGTGGGTTTATTCGCTCCGCGGTCCCCAGGCTCGCGCTCTCGGTCCCAGGAGGCCGGGCCAGCCCCCCGCTCCCGGAGAGGCCGGGGTCTCTCCCAGGTCTTGGTATTCTGGAGAGCCCGCCCCGCTCCTGAGACTCCCAGGCGCTCAGTCGTCTCCTCTCTTCAGGCCGGTAGTTCTGCCCCTCAGGCCCTGTGGGGGGAGGTGGCCTGGGCCAGCCACGTGACACCCATGATTCTGTGTCCCAAATACCACCCCCTGGAATGTGTCTCTTACAGGTGGGGGCTTATTATTCACTCGCCAACCCTGCAAATAGGAGGCCAGGAGGATCAGGAGAAGCAGAGACAGCGACTCCGAGAGAAATAGAAAATTGAAGAAAGCATGGTGGAGAAACGATGGCAACGAAGAGGATTGGTGAGGAACTTGGGAAGAGAGAGCAACATGGAAGAGCATAGGCCTTGAAGGTAACGGTGGGCCAAGGAGAGAAGCTTAGAGAAAAACAGGGTCTCTGGAAAGTTAAATGTGTGCAACATAGGGAGTTGAGTCCAGGGATGCTATCTAACCATCTCATTCGCTGCCGCCCTCTTCTATAGCCTTGAAGGGAGAAGTGCTGTAAATCAGCGGTCCCAAATAGGGCGACAGTGGAGAGGCAGTTCACACAGAGCCCGCAAAGGGGATACAAGTGTTGGAACCTTGACCTACAGACAATATCCTGCTAGAAGAGAAAGGGGACTACTAGTGAACGGAAACAGTGACGCACTTTATTTTCCTGGGCTCTAAAATTGCTGCAGATGGTGACTGCAGCCATGAATTAAGACATTTGCTCCTTGGAAGTAAAGCTGTGAGCAACCTAGACAGCATATTGAAAAACAGAGGCATTACTTTGCTGACAAGGGTTTATACAATCAAAGGTATGGTTTTTCAAGTAGTTACGTATGGATGTGAGAGTTGGACCATAAGGAAAGCTGAGCTCCGAAGAACTGATGCTTTTGAATGTGGTGTTGGAAAAGACTCTTGAGAGTTCTTTGGACTGCAAGATCAAACCACTCAATCCTAAAATCAGCCCTGAATATTCACTGGAACAACTGATGCTGAAGCTGAAGCTGAAGCCCCAGTCCTTTGGCCCCTTGATGCGAAGAACTGAGACTTTGGAAAAGACGGATGATGGAAAAGATTGAAGGCAGGAGGAGAAGGGGACGACAGAGGATGAGATGGTTGGATGGCATCACTGACTGGGAGGACATGAGTTTGAGCAAACTCCAGGAGTTGGTGATGGACAGGGAAGCCTGGCATGCTGCATTCCATGGGGTCGCAAAGATTCCATCAGGACTGAGGAACTGAACTGAACTGAGTGGTTGGAGCAGAGAGAAAGAAATTGAGCTGAAAGGAACCATTGCACTTGGAGGTGCCAGAGAGTTGGGAGGAAGGGAGGGTAGAGCTGGAGGAAGAAAGGGAGAAATATATGGAGATTTTGGATTATCAGGGAGGTTGGAGAGAAAGCATCTTTATGGGGAACAGATGGCAGTGAGAGGCAGGATGGGAGTCAGGGAAGAAGTAGACAGGAGGACAGGCACAGCAGGAGAGCAGAGGGGAAGAGGAAGGGAGATAGAGAAAGAAATAGGGAAACAGATAAACCCAATGAAGTGGAAACAAGTGTGCAGGTGGTGGAGGGGACTAGATCCAGAAGAGTGCTGAATCGATTGGATAAAGAATTAAGATGTGATACATTGATTTTTAGCTTTACAATCTAATAAATTTAAATCTTGCTCCTTTAAATTATACAGAGGAGGATGAGAATTGCTAAACTGTCTGTAAGGCTTCTGGGTGTTGTAATTATTTGTATTAAAAGATAGCATCCATGTGCAGAGTCTGTTGAGGTGGGGGGTAAGGCACTGACTTGATTCTCTCAGAGGTGGGTCACCCCCTTTCCTTTTCCTGGTGTGGAGTAGAGGTTGTGGGAGAGGAGAAGTGGTCCAAGAATTATCAGAATCTGTTACTACATGGTACCTTTTCAGGGAACTTTCAGGGAAGATGTTCTTAGTGATGGTTTTCCTTTTTGCTTTCTCCTTTCTTTACAATAAATTCTTTTCGTAGCTTGTGATAAAGATGAGTTTATTCAATACCTACTTTCTTGTCAACATCTATTGACTTCTGACAAGATTTGGTCATCTCCTATCATTAATTCATGTCATTCTTTTCTAAATATTCTACATTAACAATATTTTCTTTCACTTTGCACCAGAATTTTTCAATGAAAAAATTTTTAATAAGCTGATTAACTTTAGGTTTGTTACACATTTATTTGAGGCCCTTTTGCTGTCTCTTTACATTATATCTTGGAGATGTTCTTTTGTAACTAATAAATAGTTATAGACTGTTTTGATGAGTACTTAGTAAGGATGTCAGTGATCTTTTTTATTGAATCAAGACCTAATTTAAGCCGGTAGTATGATAGTCCATTTTCCTCTCTTTCATGTGGTCTGGTAACTAGTGAGCTATGAGTTGATCTGATGATATTTACTCAGGTCCAGAAGGTGAGCAACAGTGACCCCTGAAATGATTGGCCAAATTGGGTGTGTGACTATGTGTGGCAGTTCTTTGAGGGAGTTGCCACTTGTCATTATAATTTGAAATGCATCAGTTTTCCACAATGCAACAAGGACAACAGTGGGATTGAGGCAGGAACATAAGCTCAGAGTCAGAGAGAATCATGAGCCGTCTTCTGTGAATAAAGATCAATGTGAAGCAATGCCTCCCACCTCCTCTGGCTTCCCCGTGTCCTCAGGGCAGCATCCTGACTCCTCAGGTCACTGCCAGTGTCTCCAGCCTCATCCTGGGAGCCGACCCCATTCTCATGGTCAGTCTGTCCTGCTCACATTCACTTAGTCCTTGTTTTTAGACACTGACCTTCTCTGTCTCGGATCTTAGTTTTTTCTCCTACCTTTGGTCGTTACATCACTGTGGCTCTTGCTCTTTCTGTTCCTTCAGGTCTGGGCCAGAGAGGTCTCCGCATCTCCTTCTGATATTTGATGTGGCGTTAACCAGATTAACTGCCTCTATATTAATCACCTTCATCAGAGATGCCCTTCTCCTTTGATTATTTGGAATGTTTCCTCTTTTCCCTTCATTGAAGGATGCCCCATGTACCTTTTCCTTCCTGGATGCTTGGAGCATCTTACTCTGGGGGTGAGGACCGGGACTGTGGGTTGGGCTGAAGAATTCTCAGGGGAGTCAGAGGGGACAGGGTAGGTGATGATGGTTCCCATATCTGTTCTGGACATTTCAACTCTAATTGATCCTTACCCCATGTGGTCACTTAATTACTCAAAAACAAAAAGATTGAAGAATCCTGAAAAGCCCAATAGATTTAGTGTCTTGAGGTATCACCTTGTTTTAGTCTGCAGTGTCACTGCTCACCGCAGCCCCCAGGTCTACTAAGCTCTGTCCATCCAGGGACCAGTTGCTATCTTGGACAGCAGCTCTGCCTTCCAGCAGTTCATGTGCTCATGTGCTCAGAGCAGGGTATGATGAGTTTACTGTATTTAGAGTGGCCAGAAGGTTTGGAAGTTAAGTGTATATGAAGGAGACACCTCCCCATCCGACAACCGCACACCCCCATAATGACCTGAAGTATCTGCCAGTTAGCTGTGAGCACAGAGAAAAGGAGCTAGTGAGATGGGACCTCTCTCTTGTGACTTCTTTACCAACCATCCCTCAACTGCATAAAGTCCGCAGCAGCCGACAGGTTTTCCCAAGAGAACCAAGTTCTTGTCTCCATTCTGAATGCTCAGTGTTCTTGGATTTACAGCTCGGGCAGGTTTCTGCTGCAATGCCCAGGCCCAGTAGTCTCTGATTTTTAGCCCTCTTGTTCAGCCATTCCTGGAGAAGAGGCAGTGAAAAGGGTGTTGGGTCATGAGAGGTGCCCCCTGCTACTGTGTGCATGATCCTCACCAGGAGGGGGAGTATGATGCCAGGGAAAGTGTGGGAAAGTCCCTTGTTGGGCTCTGTGCGGGAGTTGACTGTTCTGCATCCCTCCTGAGACAGTGGGCACAGAGGACTGTCTGTTCCACTTGGTGAGGTCCTCCCTGTGTGTGTGGTTGGGACACAGGAAGGGGCTGTGTTGACTCTAAGCATTAAACAGCATGTTTTCCACTTTCTTGACACCCCTCTGAAGACTCCTGTTGCCTGAGAAACCCAGAAGAGGAGGGAGGGGAAAAAGCAGGAGTCAGGCATGGCTCTTTCTCAGGTAAGGTCATATTCTCAGTGGATTCTCAGTCTGTCCTTCCTGAAATACCCGTCTGGACTCACTAATCTTCTCTGACTCTGGAGTATCCTGTCTCACACCTTTACATGCACACTCACCAGAGACCTTCCCTCAGGGTCTGTTGTCCTCACTTAGATCCCATCTCCCCATGACCCGGTGACCTGGCCCTTGTGAGGAGGCTCCCATGGGCACCGTCCTGGGCAGGGCTTCTCACCCACGGGTTGGAGACGGGGTCTTAGTGCTCTTGGGCAGCAGGGATTGCTTAGGGTCCATCTGGGTGCACTGTCTGCTCTCTGTCAACCAGGGTAAGGAAACTGCAGGTAGATGTCAGGTATTAACATGCACAGTACGTTGTAAAATATGGATAGAGGCCACTAAGGTGAAATCAGTTCTGACTTTGTGTAGTACATTTAAAAGTAATTGAGCCTCCTTGAAAATCTTAAGAATTTGGGAATGGAACGGAAAGTTCAGAAAGAGATTTCGGGGCTAGGGTATGTTTCATTATACCATCTAATTGAAACTACGAAATCAGCATTTTTTAAAAAATTTATTTTCTGTCTACACAATGCAGCTAGTGGAATCTTAGTTCCCTGAGTAGGAATTGAACCTGAAGCCCTGCAATAGAATATGAGTACTTAACCACTTGACCTCCAGGAAATTCCCCAACTCTCCTAATCTCAATGCAATATTTTGTTCATGGAATAAAAAGATAAACTTTGGCTTTTGTTAATAACTGGATACCTAACTTTAAGGATTAAATCATTTTACTATTTTTAAAATATATTTATTTGTTGTACTGGCTCTTTATTGAGGCAGTGGCTTTTATCTAGTTCTGTGTGATGGCCACTCTCTAGTTGCAGTGTGCGTGCATTGTGGTGGCTTCTCTCATCTTGTAGCACAGGCTCTAGAGGAGGCTGGTTTCAGTAGTTTCACCTTCTGGGCTCTAGAGCCTGGCCCAGAAATTGAAGCTCATGGACTTAGTTACCCCTTGACATATGCGATCGTACCGGAGCAGGAATCAAAGCCATGTCTCTTGCGCTGGTCAGTGGATTCTTTACCACTTTGCTACCAGGGAAGCCCTCATTATTATCTTTAAATATAGGTATGTTATAAAGATTGTAGTTTAAATGGAAAAAAAAATAAAGATTGTAGTTGGAGTCTTTTGTATGTTACTTTATGCTCATACTACTTTTTATTATTTTGAACTAGTATAAAATAATGTTGAGGAGTCCTCCTAGTACAGTGGGGAAGAATGTGCCTGCCAAAGTAGGGTGCACCGTTCCACCCTATGTCCAGGAAGATCCCTCAAAGCAACTAAGCCCATGTGGCACAAATACTGAGCCTGTGCTCTAGAGCCCGGGACCATCACTCCTGAAGCCCGCACACTCTAGAGCCTGTGCTCCGAAACAAGAGAAAGCACTGCTTAGAAGCCCGTACACTGCAGCCTCAACTCGAGAAAGCCCGCTCACAGCAACGAAGACCCAGCATAACCAAAATAAATAAGCCTTAGGGAAGAAATAGAATGTTGACATACTTACTGAAGTGCAATTGATTCATTTTTAATGTCCCAGAGATGCGGAAGTATACATGATTAAAATGTAAATGGGAGTGTCATCCCAGAATGTGTCAAAAGGCAACTGTTTCCAGAGAGAATGGCCACCCACTCCACTATTCTTGCCTGGGAAATCCTGTGGACAGAGGAGGCTGGTGCCTACAGTCCATGGGGTTGCAGACTTTGACACGACTGAGCAACTGATCAGCAACCTCCACACTCAGCCAAGTGAGCTCTTAAAAACCAATCTAAGTGTCTAACTTTCCTCCGGCAGGTTCTTCAGTGGCTTCCAGTAGCTTTTGGAATAAAGTCCTAAATCTATAGACCTTGCAGAACCTTTCAGAAATCAGCCTCTACCTGGCATCACCCCCTCTTTATTCCCTACATTGAAGTCACACTGGCTGACTTTCTGTTCACTGAATATCTTCCTGCCTCAGAGTCAGCACACAGGCTGTTTTCTCTATTTGCCTCATTTTTGTATTTGCCATCTTGCCAATCTTAAGTGTTTCTTCCTCACAGAGACCTTGTCTGACTTCTCGATGTAGGTCAAGACTTTCTGTTAAATCTTCCCTTAGCACCAGGCCTGTTTCAGAGCACTTATTACAATAGTAATGTTAAAATTATGGATGTAATTGGCTGACTGGCTGCTGGATTGTAAGCTCCATCATGTTCACTGCTGTATTCCAAGTTGGGGCACAAAGTTGTTGCTCAATAAATTTTGATTGAATGAAAGAAAAAACTATAAAGACAGGTCTTCCTTGTTTCAACCAGTTGTGTGTTTACGTGTGCATGCATGAGTGCATGGTTATGTAACTCCATGGTTTTATTACAAAGCATCATGTCTTCAATATGTTTTATGCTTTGTAGCAGTTGTGCTTGTATCTTAAGTGTATTCCATGACCTTAAGTTTTTTCCACCTCATCACCTGATTGATGGAAATAGTAGTAAGATTATTGACATGTTGTGGGTTCAGTGGGAGAGGGCGACCCTATACAGTGACTATTTATACTATTCCATTGCATTTCAGTTTTCTTTTTCTTGTTTAAGGTATTCTCAGGGAATTCTTTGTGCATGCACTTTCCTGATCTGTTACTTAGCTTTTTATTCTTTGTCAGGCTTAACCACCTGACCTCAAGGGCTGTTGCCTCATTTTTTAACTTGTTAATGAGTGATTTCTTAGAGTGACTGAGTTTTCTCCCCAGAAGATGGACACAGATCTTTCTCTAATGTGGTTTTATGTTGATGACAAGATCATATGTGTAAAGTGTTTAGAATGATGTTTAGTGTGTAGGATGTGTTGAAACCCTTATAGTCAGTGTGATAGTGTCATCATCTTCACAATGTAAGATCTGGTGTTCTTTTAAAGCCACTGTGGACTTGTCATCTCTAAAGATACCATTCTTGTTGTAACTCAGCTAGATATTAAATGTCACCCAATGTGTAAAATGTAACCCTTCTACAGGGGCAACTCATTGTTACAGGGGCAATTTATTGTTGAATGTTATTTGTATGTTTTTCATGTATTGTCCACACAAATGACAAGTTCATGTCGATTGGAGTATATCATAGTCTTAAGAGAAAACAGGAAATTAGAGACCAACAGTGTGTTCCAATAGCTTTTAATAGATCTATCAGAATATTACTTCCACTGAATTGATCCTTATCGCTCTCACTTATTCTCCTTTTATGTAAAAATAAGAAGCCTCCTCAGCACCTGTTAGTGAAATGCGCTTTCATTTCAGACACAGTTGACCATCGAGGATGTGGACATCAGGTTCACTCCAGAGGAGTGGAAGTGCCTGGATCCTGCTCAGAGGGCCTTGTACTGGGATGTGATGGAGGAGACCTACAGGAACCTGCTGTCTGTGGGTGAGGATCTCTTCCCTGTGAAGTTGGAATCTGGTTTGGGGTATCTCTGCATTTTCCCTCTGTGTCTCTTGGGAGCCCCTGTTTTGCTTGACTGACTTCACAGCCTTGTAGATTCAGAGGTGGAAAAGCTTCGTGATTGGCATCAGGAGTATAAGCTTGTCCTTTCTTCAGGTGCTCTGCCCACTGTGATACACAAAGAGTTTTTCCACAGCTTGAGCATTTGTTAAGCTGATTTCAAACTTTGAAATATCCAAATCCCTTTTCCTTCCCCTGTGTTCTTGGTTCAGTATTTCTTTGAAAGTAATTACATATCTGCATGTGTGTGTGCTTTCTCACTGTGGTCATATTTGACTCTTTGGAACCCAGTGGACCACACCCACCAGGCTCTTTGTTCGTGGAATTCTCCCGGCAAGAATACTGGAGTGGGTTGCCCTGCCCTCGTCCACAGGGATCTTCCCCATGCAGGGATTGTCCGCATATTCCTATATTTTATAAGACTGATAGTAAATTAATTTGTGAAGAGTTTTTCTCTCGTCTATAATGTCCTCATTTCTTGGCTGATAAAAGAGCTGCGATTCTACCCCTGCCAATTCAGGAAGACAGGGGTTCAATCCCTGGTCTGGGACGATCCCACAGTGCAGTTAAGCTTGTGTGCCACAGCTACTGAACCAGCACTCTAGAGACGAGAAGCTACAAGTACTGTGACCACAGGGGACAACTTCGGAAGGCCATGCACCCAAGAGAAACCACAGCAAATGAGAAGTGGAGCACTGTAACTGGAGAGTAACCCCCACTTGCCAAACCTCGAGTAATGCCCAAGCAGCAGTGTGCACTCACCATAACCAATATAAATAAATGAATAAACAAACAGAAGTGTTGAAAGTAACATACATTTAGTTAAAAAGGAGAGGTTGGATTTTGGAAGAAGCCACAGTACATGGCATTTCTTCTGAGCAAGAATTTCTGTATCTGATCTGAATCTCACCTCTATTTTTGTAGCAGAGGAAGATCCCTGGATTGTGGAGAATGAGGTGCAAATGTCCGGAAACCAGATGAGTTGTAAGGTATCAACAGTGTGATCGGAGGTCAGATCTCACAAGGACAAGAGAGGAAGCCAGGCCATTCATAGTGTTTGGGAAGCTCCAAACGGGAAGTTCTGTGAGAAAACAGATGTTTAGTGTTTGTGAACTCTCACAGGAAATTTTTCTTCTGCCCAGCTTCCTCCTACATTCTTTGATGTGTGAAATGTATACCACCTTCCAGTGGTGCTGTGTCACCCAAAGACCCAAAGGCATGGTCTTTTCTTTTTGGCTGTACTGGGTCTTTATTGCTCTGCATTCTTTTCTCAATTTGAGGTGAGCAGCAGCTACTCTCTAGTTGCAGGGCACATGGCTTATCATTGCAGTGGCTTCTCTTGCTGTGAAGCGTGGGCTCTAGCCTGTCCATCACCAACTCCCAGAGCTTGTTTAAAGTCGTGTCCATCGAGTTGGTGATGCCATCGAACCATCTCATCCTCTGTCGTCCCCTTCTCCCACCTTCAGTCTTTCCCAGTGTGAGGGTC